GACCCTCTTCTTTTCTCGTCAGTAGGACCTTCATCTTGTCGATCTCACATGCACCCGTCTGTGCACCCTCCTCGTTCTCCTTAGGTTTGTTCTTGTTTTTAGTTGTGGGAGACATATTGGCAGATAGTTTTTCCCTCGGGTTCGGCCATCATGGCACCTCCACCGCAGTGGAGGATCTTCCCCCGGTAAGAAAGGCCCTATTTATGGGCCGGGAAGCGGAGAGGCCGTTTGTCGGGGGAGCCGCACCCTATCCCGGCCAGTGACTCTATACAAAAGGTTTCCTGGAGACGGCCAGGCCCACTCTGATGCTACAGGATTATCCTCACCCCAGGAGTGAGGCGCGCACCGATCCGATCGGTCGCATACCTCGCCCCCGGGCTAGAGTTCACTAAGGAACTTCCCCCTTAGTACGGGTACGAGGGGACGGTGGCTCGCCGCCCCTCCATACACGCGCCCGGACTGCCGGTTTCAACGCCCTGATAGGCTCCAGTCAGACGAACGGGAGCGGTTTTCCCACATTAAACATGCCACTTCCTGCGGACTTTGCCAGTAAACTGGGCTTACGGTCCCGCGTAGTCCATGGCAGAGGTCAGGTACAGACGTCACCGCTCGTCCCCGGTCGGGAGGTTTACTACTCCCCCCTTGGTTAGTCTCAGGGAAATATCCACCAGCAGCCGACCGCGGCCCATTCACACACCACACATACAACCGACCCTCCACCCTCCACGCCCAGCCCCGTACGCCAGGCCGCACGCCCCAGCAGCGGGACGTCGGCCCCAGACGCAGGGACTGACCGCTTCATCACGGAGGGTCGGGTGTTGGCCGGCAGGCTTGCCGACCAACTCCTCGGACCACCGGGCCCCGCCTGGGAATAAGTCCCAGCGGCCCCGGCGGTCCCCAGGCAATCGGGCCCCGCCTCGGAAACGTCCGAGCGGCCCCGATCCCCGTCTATCTTCCGGCCCACTCCGCGGATCCTGGGTACCAGTTTACCACAGAGGTTCGGCTCCTCCCCCCGGAAGAAACGGACCACGTCCGAGTCAACCGCGGGGAGGCCACGGCTTCCGGCCCACCCTTCGGCTAGGACCACGTCCCAATACCTCCAGGGTCCGGCTCTCCCCCGCCCGCGAACCCGTCCACGACGAGCCCGCTGACGGAGGAGCTCCCCCTTGCCACCACCCCCCTGCCGGAACGCCGGCGTGCTATGGGTGACGGTGACCTCCCCCCGAATCCCAGATGCCTGCCGGAAGCCGGCGTGCAATGGCATCTGCGATTCCCTCCCCCTCGTCCGGGTTCTCCCAATCCCTGTCGGGACACCGACGTGCAATGGGATCGGGGAGGAGACGACCCGGTACTGGTGGAAGGAGCAAGCTCCCCCCTATCGGCCCCAGCAGCCGGAGGTTTGAAGTCGGGGTACCTCATCCCCTACCAGCGATCGGCGGGCTCGTCCGCCACACGTGTGGTGAACGAGTCCCCCTTAACGGAGTTGCTGGACCCCGTCCGCCCTTAAAAGGGCAGAGGCGGCACTCCGACAGCGAGCACCCCAGGCCGGAGGTCACACCGACGCTAAAGCGCGCCGACAGCCGCCCACCCGGAACGCACGCCCCCGGAGCCCCGCCCGGGCTGCCGGACCCCAACTCGGAAGACGTCCGAGCGGCCCCGACAGCCCCCCGCCTACGGCCCCGGACCCCGACCTGGGAGACGTTCCAGCGGCTCCAAGGGCCCCAGGCTGCCGAGCCCTGCCTCGGAATATGTCCGAGCGGCCTCGTCAGCCCGTCTACTCGGGCGGGACGGACTCCCGGCCCCCCCAACATGGGGAGACCAAGAAGTCCACCCCCTCGTCCCCCCTGAGCTCCCCCGGGGAAGACACCCGTGGGGCCCGGTGAAGGGGACTCCCCTACCGACGAGTGATCTCGGTTCTGTCTCGACATAACCGTCGAGGCAGCCGAGACCGGAGTCGCCGGGCTCCATACCTCCCCCCATTAACTGGAGGGAGGGGTGGTACGCTCTTGGTCAGCGGACGCCCAGCCCGTGGAACCGCCGGAGCAGGGGCACACAGACGGTTCCAGGCCGAACGCCCGCCTAAGCTCCCCCACCACGACAAGGTGGCGCACCAAGGGGGAGAACTTAAGCGTAACCTTTTTTTTTTGACCCGGTGGAAATCCTCATGGACCGTCCCCCCGCTCCGCTGGGACGGAGACGGGGGGGTGTGTGGGACTCGCCCTCCCTGTACCCCAGGCAGTTGACGACCTGGGGCCAGCGTGCAATGGAGGGCGCCTACCTCACTAAAACCACCGGGAGTGGACTTCTCTGCGCCATGTTGAGCCGACCGGGGACTGCTATCGCATTACTGCCGACCGGCTCGGCGCCGCGCGCCTGTTCTTGGCCCGCTCCTCTGGGTCCAGACTTGGACCGCGCCCATTCCACTTGGGCGCTCTTCTTACGCATTTTGCGTGCGCCGCGGCAGGGGTGCCACCGGGCCCCTGCCGCGCCCCCTTGTTGCTGGTGGGGGCTGGTGAGCCGGGTGTCCTCAGCTCCCGACCCACCCCCTGGGATCCCTCTGCTTTCCCAGAGAATTCCCCTTTTAGTCGCCTCTTACGACAGGCAGGGGATACCCCGGGCCTATTCGTCGGCGGGCCCCGGACGCCTAGCGGAGGGATCACCCCTCGCTTCGACCTTTTGGTCGACCATCCCCTTTCACCAGGGGGATATCTTCTCCTTCTTATGCAGCCCTTAACTGGGGAGAGAGGGGGGAGACAGCAGGCATGCTGTCCCCACCCCCTCACCCCGGACTACCACTCTCTTAAGTGAGCTGGTCTACGTCTCCTCCTGCGGGGAGGAACGCCAGCCCTTCCCTGTCCATCCTGGGGGTCTGCCTCCCCCCTTCGGATGCGCTCCGCTTCCTCCTTAAGAAGCATCACTCCTTCGCAAAAGCCCGAAAACGAGCTCCACGCATCCTCATCTCGGACTATCGCCTCCACCACTGCACCCAGAGAGAGGTCATCTCCCACTACCCCCCTCAGCGCGCTTCTGTGCACAGCCCACGCCGGGCATACCTCCAGCGTGTGCTGTGCATTATCCTCCTCTTCGTCACAGTGATGGCAACCTGCAGTTGCCTCCTTGCCTATACGTCGCAGGTACCCACCGAAACATCCATGTCCGGTGAGCACCTGCGACGTCCTATAGGACGCTCTCGCCCACGTCCTGTCTAGCCATTCTTCCATAACTGGGAGAATGGCCTGCACGGTCCGCCGACCCGGGCATCCGGGTTTGGCCAACCTTTTCTTCCAGTCTTCGCGAGCTCTCTTCTTCGCCTGGGCGTTGATCGCCCTCCTAACTTTGCCAGCTATCGGGATCCCCCGTTCCTTCAGTTCCGTGATCCGTTCGTAGGCCCACTTATACGAGACCGCCAGTATGTCGACCGGAGGCATTCCTGCTAAAAGTGTGGCCGCCGCGTGCGACACAGTCCGGTATGATCGCGTGACCCTGACCGCCATTCGGCGCTGCGTTTGCCGCAGTATCGTTAGCGCCTTTTTATTGGTGCTTATCTCCTTTGCCCATATGGGTGCTCCATATAGCGCGATGGAGCGGACTACATTAGCGTAGAGGCGTCTCACTCTACCGCTTGGACCTCCCAAATTCGGCATTAGTCGCGACAACGCGTTTACCGCTGCTTCCAATCTGGGGGCCATCTTCGTGACATGCTCTCTGAACTCCAACCTCTCGTCTAGCAGTAGTCCCAGGTATTTTAGGTGGGACCCCACTTTGATGCGCGTATCCCCCACTGTTACGTAGGTATCCGGAGGTGGTCCATGCTTCCCACTGTGCATGAACACAGCCTCCGTCTTCTTGGCCGCCACTTTAAGGCCCAGGTCTTTGATCGCCTGGACCGTGCGTGCTACTGACATGTTTGCAGTGTCGGTAGCTTCCTTCCAGTTTCTCCCCTCGGCGAGCACCAGCGTATCGTCGGCATAACATACCAACACCGCCCCCGAGGGAAGGATTGTTTCCAACACCGCATTATACGCGACGTCCCACAGGACCGGTCCAAGCACCGAGCCCTGCGGGACGCCGCACTCCGCATTCCAAGACCTGGTCGCACCTTCCCTGTCTCTGCAGGTTATTGTCCTGCCTGATAGGTACCTACCTATAAGTACCCTGAGGTATTCCGGTACCTCCAGCTCGACCATCGCCTTTTTGATGGTTGCATGGGGGAGGGAGTTGAATGCATTTGCAATATCAAGTGCCACTGCGAGCACCACTCCCCCCCCCCTTTGTGACCCTCTCCACGTGAGCCTTGACGTAGCTGATAGCATCAACCGTCGATCGGTTCTCACGGAAGCCGTATTGCCTCATGTAGGCCTCCCCTCTCACCGCCCTCAATGCTCCGGACGAGGCGGGATGTTATCACACGCTCAAACATTTTCCCGACCTCGTCCAAGAGACAGATCGGGCGGTAGCTTGCCGGCTGGTCCTCCGGTTTACCCGGCTTCGGGATTAGGACAAGACGCGCCTCTTTCCACACCTCGGGGAAGTGTCCACTGTCCAGGCAGTCGTTCATGACCCTTTTCAGTTTTCCCGCTAGCTCGCCCACGGCGACCTTCCATGCCTCCGTCGGTATGCCGTCCGGGCCAGGCGCTTTCCCGGCCTTGAGCCTCTTTGCCGCTCTGCTCAGCTCCAGATCCGTCACGTGTAGATCCTCCTCTTCTTCCAGGTGTCCCTCGGCCGGGGTCTCCGGTGTCGGGGCTTCTGTGTCCCGGTTCTCCGGGAAGAGAGTCCTAACAACCTCCCCCAGGAATCGCGGGTCTATCGCCTCTACAGTGGGGGGCGCCCCCTTGCTAAGCTTGTTCATGACGAGCTTATAGGGACGCCCCCACGGATCCTCGTTCAATGTCGCGATAAGTTCCTCCCAGGCGGTCTCTTTTGCCCGCTTGATCGCCAGCCTGAGCACCTTACGCTCCGCCCGATACTCTTCGAGTAGGCTGTCGATCGTCTCCTGGGAGCTACCCCTCCTTCGTCGTGTGCGCTGCAAGTGTCTTCTTGCCCGGACTACCGCTCTTCTTAGCAGAGCCACCTCCTCCGACCACCAATACGCCTCCTTTCGAGGCACATAGGCAGCCCTCGGCATGGCTGCGTCGCATGCTCTGGTCATGGCGGAGCCATAGGGCCTGCTCTTCCACATTCTCCCGCTCCTCGCCCGACCACTCTTCTGCGATCAAGGATGCCCGCAGCTTGTCTGGGTCCATTTTCCTAATGGCCCACCTAGGGGGTCGCTGGTGCGCATCTCTCCCCGTTTCGTCCGACAGCTTCAGCTCGATAATGATCGGGAGGTGATCGGAGAGAATCTCCAGCTCCACCGCCACTCTCCACGAGCTGATCATCCTCGTGGCCCCAGGGGAAGTCCACGTCAGGTCGACGATGGACTCCCCCTGGGGTCTTACGCACGTACTGGTGTTGCCTCTATTTTCAAGGTGGAGTCCTAGGCGGTTGGCCCAGGCCACCACCTCTGCTCCCTTCGCATTCTGCCGCCTCGACCCCCAGAGCGTCGACGCCGCGTTAAAGTCACCCGCTATCATGACAGGTCCTGGCAGTAATCTCCTTACCTGTCTCTCCATCTCGTCCAGGCGGTCCTCCAATTCCGCCCGGGTCAGGCTGGGGCGTATATAGACCCCCATCACTGTGATGGGGCCCCACTTTACCGTCACCCATCCTTCTCCGCTGCTTCCACGAACACACGGGGTATACTCTTCCCCGGTGCGTCTCCAGAAGATGGCAACAGAATTATCTCTGCTCCCCATCCAACAAGGGTGGTCCGGGACAGTTAGTGGTTCCACCACTATCCCAAGACCGCAACCACGCTCCGCCATACTGTGGACCAGAAGGTCATGCGCCTGGCGGGCGTGGTTGACATTCGCCTGCAGTACCCTCAGCGGCATGAAGGCGCCGGTTCGCCGGCTTCCTCCGAGCCCTTCTTCCTCTCCAGCGGCCTAACGATTGTGGCCTCTGGCGCGGAGGTTTCTACCTCCATTGCCTCCTCCGTTGCGGGCATTCCGCTTGTTCCAGGGGATGGACCGGTGTTCATCCCTTGCTGCTTCGGGTCCGTCTTGTTCCGCCTTTTCTGCTCCTTTTTGGATGGCGCCTTGCATCCTTTGCCTCCGGCCTTGTGTTTTGCCGGGAGCCCCTTCTCGCTGCACACTGGGCACCTCAGCTCAGCGTTACAGTCCTGGGCTTTATGCCCATCTACTCCGCACCTATAGCAGGCGGCGCTTCTATCCACCTTGCTTCGGCACTGCTGACGTACGTGCCCCTGTTCGAGGCATCTGAAACAGATGAGGGGCCTCGCATCCAGCAGTTCCACCCTCGCGGCTACCCAGCCGATCTTTATTCGGCCAGGTGCCGCTATCCTCTTTGCCGTTGCCAGAGGGCATTGTACCCAAACGGTGCTAAGCCCGTTGGGTGCCATCCTTATTTGGCCTATCTTCACGCTTTGAGGTGGGCAGTCCCCACCTCTTATGATTGCATCGCGTATCTCCTCCTGGGTTACCGAGTCGTCGAGGTCTTTGATTCTGACCTCGGCGAGCTTTGTGGGGCGAGTCACCACAACTCCTTCGATGTCCCCTGTTGCATTCCGGATCTTTTCCGCGAGCCGGTCCGCCTTCTCCTTGGCTTCTTCTCCGGTGACCTCGAATATCAAGGCCCCCGTTAGGGCTCTCCTTGGACGGAGTTCCTCTATACCCAGGTCCTCCAGGCGAATTTGGGACTTAACCTTCCGCATCCCCTCAGCGTATTGTCCCTGGGGGAATGTCAGAGTCACCGCCTGTGACCTTGGGTTTCTCTTTTTCCCAGTTTTGCTGGAAGTTGACCTCTCCTTGCCTTTCTGCGGGGGCTCGTTCTTGCTCCCCTTTCCTCTCTGTTGCTGGACCGTTTGTCCCTGAGATCCTTTGGCTGCTCCGCCCTGTGGGACTTTCTCTCTTCCCGCCGGAGTTCTCTTCCTAGGGTTCCTTCGCACCACCTCCACCCAGGTGTTCTGTTGCTTCTGCTGTTGGTGCGCTGCCGTCTTTTGCTCCTCTGGTTTACGTTGTTTCGCCAGAGGTTGCTTCGCCGTCAGTTGCGGCTGGTTTTGCCTCACCTCCGACTTCTCTCTCCTTGCGCCGGCGCTGGTTGATCTCTGCCGGTTCGCTGGCACATTCTTCGTGGCCATCTCCTTGTTTCCTACGGGCTCTCTGCCCTTGTTGCTCGCCGCGAGCGTGGTCTTAGTACGACCGGTTTTACCCGCTGCCTTTCTTTCTCTTCTTGCTGCTGGAAGAATCGCTCTCGCCCCCACGCAGCGTGATATCAGGTTGCTCAGGTTTTGCCTGATATCCTGCGCGTCTCCCGAAAGAATATTCCGGAGCGATATATTCTCCATGACTCTCCTCTAGTGCCCTCTCTTCAGATGGCTCCTCCAGTCTCTTCCTCGTTCCTCCGATAGCCGGTCGGAGGACCGGGAGGCCATCCTCTTCGTCCGCGGCTGCTTTTTCCCTTGCATCCCCCGTGCTAGAGCACTCTCGAGTAATGTCCTCGATGACGGGGGTGGCTCGAAGCGGTTCTATCGCCTCGTCCTCCGAGGATTCTACTATCTTACGGTGCTTCCTCTTTCTGAGGTTCCTCTCCGTTTGTTTCGGCTCTTCCTCTCTTGGCCTCTGCTGCTGTTGTTGCTGCAGTGCTCCTGTGAGTCGAGCCACCTGCTCCTCCAACTCCTTTATCCTCCCCCTCATTCTGGAGAGTTCGATATATTCCTCTCCTGCTGTCGGTGGTTGTTTCCCGACGAGGGCTACCGTAGCGGCTCTAATTTTGCACGCCGATCTACGTAGTTGATGGACGAAGGTGCCTTTCAGGTTTTTTGACCTGTTAGCCACCTTCTCCACAATGTTGACGTATTCCGTCAATTCCGCGGATATTTGTTCCGCGGACATACAAGACATCTGTCTAATTGTTTCCCTCTCTGGGGTTATTCCCCTTCTATCCCGGGGATCCGGGAGGACGTTCTTGTCGAGGACGTCTCTCAAGGCTTTCTATTGTGCCTGGAGGCGTTTAACTTCCTTCTTGGCTTCTAGCCGCTGTCTGATGAGGAAGCCTTTACCCGTCGTTGGAGGTCTGCCTCTCCTCTCCTCGGGCTCCTCATAATTCTCGACATCGACCATAGTGTCTGAGCCTTCTAATGAGTCTGCGTCCACCGGCGCAGTGTCTCTTTCTCTGCTCCTAGCTATACCTTTATAGCTAACAGGACCTGCCTTCGTTCTCTCCGCTTGTTGCCCGCGGGGGGGTCTAGGTCCATCGCCTTTATTTCCGCCGCACTCGTCTGTGCGCCCTCCTCCAACCTTGTCAGCACTATAGTGGGTTTTTTGGTGTTTGGGGTAAACATAATGGCAGTGATTGTTCGACCGGTTCGCCCATCGTGGGACCCCCACCGCAGTGGGGGATCTATCCCCGGTTTAGTAGAACCCTAGTTATGGGCCGGGAAGCGGAGAGGCCGCTTGTTGGGGAGCCACCCCTATCCCGGCCAGTGACTCTAACAAAAACATCCCTGGAGACGGCCAGGCTCACTATGATGATAAAGGCTTATACTCACCCCAGGGGCGGGGCGCGTACCGGACCGATCGGTCGCTCACCCCGCCCCCGGGCTAGAGTTCGCTGAGGAACTAATCCCCCTCAGCATGGGTATGAGGGGACGGCGGCTAACCGGCCCCTCCATTCCCACGCCCGGCATGCCGGCTTCAACGCCCTGATAGGCTCCAGTCAGACGAGCGGGAGCGGTTTTCCCACGTTAAACTTGCCGCTTCCTGCAGACTTTGCCAGATGAATCTGGACTTACGGTCCTGCGTAGTCCACGGCAGAGGTCAGGTACAGACATCACCGCTCGTCCCCGGTCGGGGGGTTTACTACTCCCCCCTTGGTTAGTCTCAGGGAAATATCCACCGGCAGCCGACCGCGGCCCATTCACACACCATGTACACCCCGCTCGACGCCACTTCCCCGCCTCTCCCCTATGCCAGGCCGCATGCCCCAGCAGCGGGACGTCGGCCCCAGACACAGGGGTTGACGGGTTCACGACGCCGAGCGGGTGTTGGGTGGCTGACTTGCCACCCAACGCTCCAGACCCCAGGGCCCCGCCTGGGAATAAGTCCCAGCGGCCCCCAGGGTCTTCCGGGCGATCGGGCCCCGCCTCGGAAACGTCCGAGCGGCCCCGATCCCCGTCTATCTTCCGGCCCACTCCGCGGATTCTGGGTCCCACCCAGTTTACCGCGAAGGTCCGGCCCTCCCCCCGGAAGAGACGGACCACGTCCGAATCAACCGCGTGGAGGCCACGGCTTCCGGCCCACCCTTCGGCCAGGACCACGTCCTGTTGCCTCCGGGGTCCGGCTCTCCCCCGCCAACGAGCACGTCCACAACGAGCCCGCTGACGGAGGAGATGTGCGTGTGCAACGCTGTAGCTGATCGCTCAGCTGACCGCCCCGCGTAAGCCGCCGGGCGCCGCGGCGGTGCGCCGCTCCTGTCTGCCTCTTGTACTCGGCCAGTTATTCGCTGACTATTTCTTTGAATAATTCAAAAACTAAGCTTCGGAGAACATTTTGGTAAGAGAAAAATCGTCTTAGAATTTAATCAGGAATAC